GCGGCTGCCTCTTTCTCCCATCGACCGACATGGCGGCCAGCGACAGAACGAGCACCAGAGAGCTCGAAGATGCCTTTGTGAAAATCACTTTTGAGGACGACTTTTCTCCTCCTCGCGACAAGGGCACGGACCCGCTGTACGATATATGGGTTGACCAGGGTGAGCACTGTCGCCTCGTACTCAATGGCATGGGCTCAGGTATCTCCAGCATCGGCGAAGTTCCACGATCCAGGGAGCTTTGGGTACGCGCAGAGCATTGTCTAGCCTTGACCGCATATACTCAGTCCTCACAGCGCACGCACTCTGCGCAAGCTATACCCGAGCCATTCCGTCGTCTTGTTCACAGACGGGGCGAACATCGGATTCCTGGGCTTTCCTGGAGCGCTCATCAAGCCTGTGTCCCCGCCCGAGCTCATCACGTCGCTGGCATTCGTTCCTTTTGCCCGCCGCGCAGCTGCGCAGGTACCTGGCCGGCTCGTCGACCAGGTTAAGTTTGGCTCGTTCAGCGTAGCGTGGGATGTACGTCTTTCGATCACGATCGCTGTCCGTCTCTCACAGACACAACGACCTCGATAGAAATACGACTTCTTGCTGTACATCGTCAAGGTGTGTCTTGTGGCTCACAAATTTGCATTTGGCCTCACTGCCTCCATCAGTACCCTCAAGGCTTTGGCGAGGTAACTCAGCATTATCTTCTGCATGAAGGCCCTGAAGACCCGGTGCGCGCACTACTTTTGGCTGCGGGAGCCTGGAAGAATCAGTTGCACTCAGAGGTCCTTATTTTCAACAACGGGATGTGGACCAAAAACCATGAACTGTGGCAGGAAATCCAAAAGGCCGACTGGGACGACGTAATTCTAAAGCAAGAATTCAAAGACGCGATGAGGAAGGACATAAACGGTTTCTTCGACTCTGAAGATCTGTTCAAGTCACTGGCGATCCCTTGGAAGGTAGCGCTCTTTCATTCACCTCGGACGATACTAAACTGACCTGGTCACACATAGCGTGGGATTATCATGCATGGTCCTCCAGGTATACTCGCAATTCCTTTTTGTTTTTTCTTGCTTAACCGCTTATAGGTAACGGCAAGACAATCAGTCTGAAAGCCGTCATGAAAGAATGTGACGCGAAGAACTTCGCGCCGCTTTACGTTAAATCCTTCCAGAGCTGGATGGGGGAAGAAATGTCCATGGCCACCGTCTTCGCCAAGGCCAGGGAGATGACTCCCTGCGTACTCGTTCTCGAAGACCTGGACTCACTCATCAACGACAAGAACCGCTCGTTCTTCCTGAACCAGCTTGACGGGCTCGAGAGCAACGATGGGCTGCTCGTGATCGGCACGACCAACCACCTCGACAAGCTCGACCCTGCGCTGAGCGGACGGCCGAGTAGATTTGATCGTAAATAGTACGTGGTCTCTGCCCGTTCCCACGAGTCCAGTTCTAAGCCGATTTTGCTGCAGTCCGTTTGACGATCCTGATGAGGACGAGCGAGCCCTGTATGCCAGGTATTGGCAGGACAAGCTGCGTAGCAACAAGAGCATAGAATTCCCAGACAGCCTCGTCGACGAAGTCGTCGCGATGACGGCAAAATTCAGTTTTGCCTATTTGAAGGAGGCGTTGTGCGTCCAATTCCCCTCCTGTCGTCCATCTGAGCCGTGGCTAACCTTCCAACAGCGTTTCGTCGCTCGTCATTCTCGCAGGGCTGGACGGCACCAGCAAGCCTCCCTTTGCCGAGGTGCTTAAATCTCAAATCAAGTCCCTCCGGAGTCAGCTCGACAACGGCCTGAGGTCCGCTTCCTCCCCTAGTAAGATCGCATCCGCATCCGTCCCGATGGGTAGCCGGTTCGGCGAACGCGGGTTCCGTCTACCTGGATTTTCAGACGCCAGCAGGATCTGGGATTTAGGTGTAGGCGACCCAAGGCTCTCCATGCCCGGGGGAATGCCCCACAGGGAAACGGCACATACTATAGGCAGAGGAGCTGGAGAGCCAGTAAGTTTGGGTGGGACCAGCTTTGGACGATCGTTCATCTCTTGATTCGTGCAAATTGTTCTATAATGCTTTGCCCTGGCTATCTGCACTTGTTGCGTGTATTATCACATACTATCCCAGGAGTCTCCAGTGTATAACAATCATTTTGAAATTAGCGAATCGAATGAGGGATTGCACGCCATTCAGGGCTTAGCTGAGTCGCTTGGCTCAGAAGTACATACATCAATGATTCGTTAAATGCAGATAGCAAGGGTAAGATGCCATACAACAAAGCGTTTATTTTACACAAGCAACGATTTCAACTGGCAAGACCACACTATGCTGCCTTCCCCGAGTCTTCCTTCAGACTTACGATACGATTCAACACAACATAGTCATCGGCCCTCCTCCCAGGCGCAGCTCCGCTAGCTTCCTCCAGACACGCAAGCCGAGAGTCCTTGTCCACAGCGAAATAAGCCACCCGCAGACCCTGGAATCGGATGCATTCCTTCCCTACAAGCTGCTCACTTGTCGCTTTCGGTGTATCGTCTCCGGCGACTGCCGGTGCAGTCGTTTGTGCGGACGCTTCCACTGCCTTGTCCGTCCGTGCCTTACTTTCCCTGCGAGCGTCCTCATACGCGCGCTTCGCCAGGTCCCAGAACCCAACCTCCACCATCGCGCCCTTGACGATTTCCAGGCTGTTCGGGTTAATGTCCGCGCGCCAGTCTGGCTCGACGGCAGCCGGGTTGTCGCTCTTAAATAGTTGGTAAAACACGCGCGCCTCATCGACGCGCACGGGGCTCCCGGACGGCGCGTGCTCTGCCACCCACTGGATGAACGCCTTCGGCTTCTTGGGCGCGCCCGCACCGTTCTCGAGACGGCAGACTAGCTCGAGCACCTCGCCCGTGGCTGCGTCCGTCTTGTACGACGTGCAGGTGACCGGGTGCGGCGCCTGGAAGAGCCCGACGGTCTTCCCGGGCGCGAGCCGGAAGTAGTCCTTGGAGTCTTCCAGCCGGAAGTCGTCCGCGTCGATGTAGATCGTGCGCGTGAACGGGACCTTGGACGTGCCCAGCTCCGGCACCTTTGGATGGAGCGGCTTCTCGAGCCACAGAACGTAGTCCTCGGGCAGGTTCTCGATCGTGACTTTGAGCGGGCGCATGACCATGAGCAGCCGTGGTGCGGTGTTCTCGAGGTACTGTCGCACGGTCTGCTCGAACCGCACGGCCTGGATTTGCGTGGTGGCCGTGGACACACCAAGTGCGCTGACGAACGACAGGATCGCACCGGGAGGCACGCCGCGTCGGCGGAGTGCGATGACGGTGTACAGACGTGGGTCATCCCAATCGAGGACATGTTTTTCCTTCACAAGTTGGAGAATTTTCCGTTTCGACGTGATAGTGCCGGTGACATTTAGGCGGCCGTACTCGGATTGACGCGGCTTGTAGACTTCGAGAGCGTCACACAACCATTCGTAAGACTCTCGTGATGGTATAAACTCCACGGTACACAGCGAGTGTCTGCGATGGATGACATGAGTCACTAATTGTGTGATGCAGTCAAATGGCGTACGTAATGTTTTCAAAGCTATCACACAAACAGTGCGTGAAGTCGTAAGTGGGATAAATCTTCCACTTGTCATGTGTCCGATGATGAGGTGCGTTTAGCACGCGATATGCGACCAGGTCCCACATCATAGTGTTGCCGGACTCCAAATCTTGTTTCATTCGCAGAATTGCCTGACCGGGCTGGTACGCGCCGTCCTTCATTTTCGTAAACTCAGCAAGCGATTCTGCTACCGGTCTTGTCCGATGCGTGCACGCCTTGCGAGGCCCTCGCTCATCTCCCCCGCGGTTGGCATAGATCTCATCGCCTATATTCATATAAACGACTGGAGTGCACCGGGTTGAATAGACTTACCAGTACAGTGGCATACGTATGCTTTGTCCCTGCGGATGAGTTCTACAGCCAACTCGTACAGTTGATCGAAATAATCGCTTGAATATGTGATCTTCCACGGCTCATATCCCAACCATCTGATCGTCTCCAGGATACTCTCGAAATACCTCCCTTCTTCTGCCTCGGGATTTGTGTCATCAAATCGAAGGTAGCAGCGGCCACCATGGTGCTGTGCATAGCCAAAATTGACGAAAATCGCCTTGGAATGCCCTATGTGCAAAAACCCGTTAGGCTCTGGTGGAAACCGTGTGTGAACAAGCCCTCCAGTTGCAGTAATATGCCGTTCACGGAGGTGGGAATGTATCTGAGGGTTATCGCCGACTTTGTGAAGTCGGCCCAGGAACCCTTCTGTGAAGATGGTTTTAGAAGAGGATGCAGGGGCTTCAGCTTTTACTGGAGTTGGAGTTTTGGCAGAAGCATCCTTGACTTCCTATAATTTTACGTCAATAGAGCTTTTGTGGACACTTGAATATCAGATCACTTTTCCCTTGCCTTTCGCAGCTTCCTTGGGTCCAAATTTCTCCGTGAAAGCGCGTTCAACTGCGTTCTTCAGATCTAAGGGATTCGCCCATCGTAGCTCTGTGCTCTTGAGGCTCCCGATAATCGCGCCTAGGTTTGACCATCCCGACGCGGCACTGGACGCGACATACTCCACGACCCGAGCGGATAGCTGCTCTGCAGTAATAGTGAAGCCTGCCGGATCATGTCAATGACGCTCTCAAGTAAACCATAAGCAGCGACGCACCTACACCGCACTGCGCGTTGAAGTCATTTTTATCAATCGGAAGCGAATGGACTTCCAGGTACTTAGCCGCCACTGCAGATTACAATAGCTATTATGTTTCGTCTTTTCAGTAGCCATGGGTATTACTGACGCACCAGATACTTGGTCTGTGCTCTTCAGTCGTCCATCCAAGATCGCGTGCACAGCATACTCTCGTTCGGCCTCACCCAGCTTGCCACCCTGAATGGCTAAGCTTGCGAGCAGCACCGCCTGTTTCTCCTCCAAATGTTTCTCAATGAGTCCATTACGCTCGATGATATCTTTGAGTGTGGCAGCACTCTTGGGGCTTTTGGCGGCCTCCGCGGCCTTGGATGGGGTGAGGCCGATGGACTTGAAGAGGGTAACAAGGTCAGCGGTATCGTCTGCCTTTGCAGACATCTTCGGAAAGTCTAATGAAAGTTGAGAAAGCTTGGGGTATGGAGGATTTATACAGCTATGACTCGTACAGTGACTCGAGAGTGGCGACTTTTGAGATCGATACAGAACGATCTGGCCATGCGATTAGATAAGATTGCATCTGCCCTGCAATCTCCGCGTCTGCGGTTGCGGTCTTGATCCGCTCCTTGCAGTCTGGTCGTGAGCTCAGGCTATTCGGCCTCTAGTAGCCGTTACCACTATCTGAACGCGCCGCTATGCCTCCTCGAAGACGACCTCAATTTACTCAGGAAAGCATCGACCAGCAGTTGCAACAAATCCATCTCCTTGATCAATCCTCTACGTCAGAGAACCTCGAGCAACTGGGGCCCATCATTAAGCAGATTCATACCAATAGGCAACAAGATGCATACCTCCGAACTCTCCAGACGCTCATTGAATCCAAGGACGCAGAAATTGAGACTATATGCAGTGACAATTACCAAGAATTCATTAGCTCGGTGTCCACCCTCTTCTCCGTCAAATCCTATACTACGAATCTGCGCGACACGATCACCAGTCTCGATGCAGGAGTAGAACAAGTCGGCCGCGGGCTCGTCGAAAAGAAACGGGCCTTGCTACAGTCCAAAAAGACCGCAGCCAATTTGGACGAGGGCATTGATACCCTTCAGGCGTGTCTGCGCGTGTTGGATGTCGTGAACCGGGTAGGAGAGATGATCAGAGAGGGCAAGTATTGGAGTGCTTTACGGGTTTGTTCTTCTTGCTGCATTTATGTCTCTCGTAGAGTTGAATCAAGACCTTCGCGTAGTCTCTAGAAGACATTGAGAATATGCCACCGACATCATTATCGCAGACCCCGCTCTTGCAACATTTGCTGTCCTCTTTACCATCATTACGCGGTCAGATTAAGGACGCTGTGACAGCATCCGTCAAGCAGTGGCTCCTTGACGTCAGAAACGCCAGCTCTCAAGTTGGAGGACTTGCGCTAGATGCAATGGAATCACGTACCAGGAAATGGAGAAGTAGGAGAGAGAAAGATCCTCTGCTCAAGCTGAGTCGTGTCGGCAGCGCTGTCGAGATTGTTACCAACGAGAAGACAGAATGTATGCTCTATCCCATACCCTTGGTTTCTAAGCCTTGTTAAGTTATGGTTTCAGACAATGTTTTGGACAACGAGCATCTTTACGTGGACTTCAAGCCTTTATACGAATGTATTCATATATACAGTGCACTGGATTCCCTTGATGAAATTCGCAGATCCTATCAAGCAGACCGAAAGGTGAGTACATGTCCGTCTATCCCGAGAATGTATTGAAGAACCACACAGGCCCAATCAGATCTCATTCTCCCCGATATACTGCCATTATCATCTTTACCTCAAGTCACTCAGGAGATCGTAGGATTCTTCATTATCGAGACGCATGTACTGAACACGACAGGGAGCTTCCGGTCTCAGCGCGATGTTGAGGATCTCTGGGATGCTCTTATGAGACGTGTTGGTATGTCAGTCGACAACGCCCTCAGGAATGAGAACGACGCAGATGCGTTTCTGGCTGTGAAGGAATGTCTACTTAGTTTCATCATGACCTTGGAAGTATGTCATGGATTTTTTTATGTCACTTTTGAGCCCCATTGACGCGCCCAAACAGTCGTACTCTTATTCTACTGAAACCCTGCATTCCTTCATTCTGCACCTATTCGAGCGCTATGTAGCAATATTGGAACGAAAATTCGCGCAGCGCTTTGAATCGGTTCGTCTTGGTATTGCCATATGTGACTGAGCAGCCCTGCTGATTTTTATGTTAGATTGTCTCACAGGATGACTGTCTGCCGATGTACGTAGAAACTACGGCAGAGCGAGACGGTGTATTGAACACAGTTTGGCTCAACCTGGACGAGCGCCAACAATTAGCCACGTATGGAGGATACATCTTATCATCATTGTGTCTAGACCAACTGACGAGGGACATGCCAATACAGGGCTACATTGCCTCTCGCTCTCCCATGGTCGCAAAGTTTTTATTTGTGCTGTCAAGATGTCAGTCGTTTATGTCCCACTATAATGCCTGCAACTAATCCCTCCTTAGGTTCGCAATTTCGTACAAAATTTCTACCAATTTTTAGAAGGTGTTTCACAACATCATCGAAACATCGATGACCTCTTAAGCCGGGTAATTTTGATCGTATGTAATTCAGTGGCCATTGCTCAATCGCCCCTAGTCACTAGATACCATACTTTCCAAATATATCAGCGAAAACATCACACGACGCGCTCAAAAGACCTCTAACCTCTCACAGATTGCTCAACTCGTCACCAACCTCGAGCATTTCGTAGTTTCTTGCTCTGAATTAGAGCGGTCACTAACGAACATCCGGTTCGTTACTCTCAGTGTTGTGTGACACCGTCTACCGCTGACTCGACTATTTTTTTTGAAAGCTCGTCTCAACGGGGAGGCACCATTCGACTTAACGCAGCCACATCGTTTTCTTCGGCGCTCACACGTACGCTTTCTCGCGTCTCCGCCTCAATATCCTCGAAACTCGATGACTTCTTTGGATTGTCTGAGTACGACTGGACGCCCGCCAGACGCGCTCAGTCGCCCAGCATGTATCTGATCGAGTTGATCAACTGGCTGACCACGGTGGTCGATTCATTGATCATAAAAGACGCATACAAGGACGAAGCTTACAGAGGAGCGGCGAATTACATCGCAGAATGCTTCGTGGTATGTAACATCAGTTCTATAAACCCACATTTCGCGTGGTAAATACCTAGCCCAGGATTTCTTGACGGGTCGCAACGTTCCCATGCTGAGCGAAAATGCCATCGCAAATCTCGTCCTCGATATCGACTTCCTCGAAGATGAGTTTAAGCGCAGCGGACACGCGCATCTTAATGCATCGTTCCTTGAATTGCGCTTGGTGCGTAAAAGATATTTCTAGCCTACAAGATATTAACACATCCTTCCATTGCAGATGTCAACCATTGTCTTAGAGGACCAGGTACAGCAGTACCTCATCCCTGCGGTGCGTCAAGCTTCTTACTCAGTCGTGCGGCCGAAACGCCTCCAAAATCTGCTGGAGAAACTGGCAAGATTCGGCGCTGAGCGCAGAGACGTCCCGTCGCGAGAACGAGGCGAGAGGCGGAGAAAAGAAGCAGAGGCCATTGGTAGACTATTCCCAGGAGAAGGTCGATGATTGTACTTCACGGCAACTATTATGTCACCACCAACGCGTATCATGTACTTAGATGAGCACATGCTGTGCCATGCACTTTATCATACCCAACCCGGACAGCTTTTTGGATAACCCCAGAGGGGCGAATTGTAGATATAAAAGTCAAAGAAAGCGAGGAAAGCCGAGCTGTATGGGACAGGAACTAAAATTACCAAAGCCAGTAGAGACGCTGATGGCGGTACGCGGTCGTGAATTTGAGCATGGACGATACGGCGAACAGTAAGTCTTCATATCGTAAGGATCGTGACACGTGCGACGACAGCGTCGAGGGAAAACCCAAGAGCGAAAAATGAAAATTGATTACACCCGCCGCTTGATGTTGACGCTCAACCACTCGAGACCTTCGTAGAGACCATCACCGCTAGTTGCGCATGCCGCCTGTAAATGAGTCAGAAAATGAATATGCTTCCGGCGGCAGCAAGCAGTAGACACAAACCTGAATGAACCACGTCCTCTGTCTAAGGCCATGAAGACCGAGCTTGTCGGTAATCTCAGCGGCACTCATCGCATTTGGCAAGTCCTGCTTGTTAGCGAAAACGAGCAGAAGGGCATCCCGAAGTTCATCCTCGTTGAGCATCCTCTGCAACTCCTCTCGCGCCTCGGAGACACGTTCCCGATCATTGGAGTCAACTACGAAAATGATTCCTTGGGTGTTTTGGAAATCTGACAGTTGACATGTGAGCTAAATAAAGTCACCAATATGATACGTGGCCACGAACAATGCCTCCAGAGAGGACGAATCTTGTCCTGTCCTCCGACATCCCAGACAGTGAACGAAATGTTCTTGTACTCGACAGTCTCGACATTAAAACCTATGACGATGATGAGTGACACTGGCGGCTCCAACGAAAGTCAGGTCGACCGACCGATAGTGGGGATCGTGGTCACGATCTCGCCCAGCTTCAACTTGTACAGAATGGTTGTTTTTCCGGCTGCGTCCAGCCCAACCTTGATCATTTATGAGTGGCCATGCATTGAGATAGTCGAGCTTATGTTACATACCATCAATATACCTGCACGTAGTCGGGCATTCAGTCAGCGCGCGACGTTTGCTAGAGATTGTCGAAACTCACGCATTTCTTTCTTGCCAAAAAGGCCAGAGAGAAGACGGGAGACCGAAAGACCCATGATTTAGATTCGAAAGGCGAAATGAGGAGAGAACGGGAGGAAGACGTGGTCTTGGACGTATGGGCGTTGAGAGCGACTTGCGCGCTGGAAGTAGGTGCGTGTAAGAGCTAAGCGAGCGAGTTCAAGCTCCGATACATCGCGTGGCGCTGTCAGTGGTTTCGTGTCGCTTGCCAAATGATCACTGACTCCACTGCGCCTGACTGAATCACCGACAACGCAGCAGGATAATTGGCAACCATATCCGTCTGGGCGAACGCGCAGCTACAATTTCGCCTTGCCGCTTCGTAAACCTCATTTTCGAACCGACTCAGCTGTCGAGAGGTATAAAGCGCCATTCAGCTCGGTAATTGCCGACTCGGGTGCACCGCTCTGATTCTGCACGCCTGCGCTTACTCGTTGACGTGGGTGTCGTATCGGAAGCCGTATCACCTTCAAAATACGCGCAAGTGCAATATGGGGATTCTAAATTTTACATCACGCACCGGTTGTTGGCGGTGTAAAGCTTGAAGTGTCGGAGTCGTAATGTCGCGCTGCTGAGATCCAATTAGAATTTGGCAGGTGCGTATTGCCTTATGCAGGACATCACATGATTGAAGCGCGTCTGTCCTCGATCGCGGCCACTCTCACTGGCTTCACCAGGTCCCAAGTCTTTGGAGGCTATGATTACTTTTACTCCGCTTTCTGGCGCAGCACGGTCTGAACACACGGTGCCTCTGGCCTACTTATTACAAGTGGACGATGTCCGCATTCTCCTAGACTGTGGATCGCCTGACTGGTGCCCAGAGCCGTCCTCGTCAAAGTCAGAGAGCTCAGAACCGTCGCAACATTGGCAGACCTATTGCGAGGCATTGAAAGAGTGAGTACTCAAAGTACGGGAACTCGGAGGTGCTCCGCGGTAGACAACCCGACATGCTTTAGAATTTGATTCTTATTGAAGGAAAGCGCATGTCTCTGATTACCTTCGTTGCTGACTGCTTCTGGCAGATGTGCTCCGACCGTAGACCTCGTTCTACTGTCCCATGGTGACCTCGCACACACAGGACTGTATCCTTATGCCTATGCGCATTGGAATTTAACTGCGCCCGCGTACACGACCCTTCCAGTACAAGCCATGGCCCGTATTGCCGCTATGGAGGACATCGAGAGCATACGAGACGAGCAGGATTTCAATAGCCAAATGCAGGCTCAGAATCAATTGGAAATGGATGCGAACTCTGGTTCCCCCATGACCGACGACGTCCCCGAGTCTGTCACCAAGCCTCGGACGGGCACATATATAGCAACCATCCAGGACGTCAATGAGGCGTTTGATTCGATGAACGTTCTACGGTACTCTCAACCATGTCATCTTCAGGGTATGTAAATCACATCTTTGCCGATCGAACTCGTTTATCGTCTTCGCAGGAAAATGTCAGGGCTTGACAATCATTCCGTTCAATGCGGGGCACACTCTGGGTGGTACCATTTGGAAAATTCGTTCACCTACGGCAGGCACAATTTTATATGCTGTTGATATGAATCACACGCGTGAACGTCATCTCGACGGGACAGTTCTTGTACGACAAGCTTCTGCTGGTGGTGGGATCTTCGAGAGTCTCGCACGCCCGGATTTACTTATCACCGACGCTGAACGCGCAAACGTTACTACTGCGCGGCGCAAGGACCGAGATGCCGCACTCCTCGGTGTGTTTCATTGCGTGTCTTCGTTGGATTCGGTCAATTTACATATACTCACGCAGACTGTGTCACCGCCACTTTGACATCACGAAACTCCTTGCTGCTGCCATGCGATGCGAGCACACGTGTGCTTGAATTATTGGTATTGCTCGATCAACATTGGAATTATTCTCGGTTGAAGTTTCCTATTTGCCTTCTGTCTCGGACCGGTCGCGAGATGCTCACATTTGTGCGCAGCATGATGGAGTGGCTTGGAGGAACTGTCAGCAAAGAGGATGTAGGTGAAGAGGCGACAGGAGGTCAAGGAAAGGGAAATAAGCGTAGGCGGGATGAGGATGGCGATGAAGAAGCTCTCGGGGCGTTTGCACTTCGCTTCCGGTCAGTATATTCTTCACATATATCTGGTTTGATATTCGCCGTGATTGACGTCAGAAGTTTTGCAGGCATCTTGAGTTCTTCCCAAATCCTCAGGCTCTTCTCCACACGTATTCCTCGAAAGACCCCAAGTTGATCCTTGCCGTCCCCGCCTCTCTTTCGCATGGTCCTTCTCGGGTACTGTTTACCGAGTTTGCGGAAACTCCAGACAATGTCGTACTACTGACTGGTCGTGGTGAAGAAGGCACGCTCGGGCGGATTCTGTTTGACCGATGGAATAATGCGCAGAGAGACGATGTGAAATGGGATCGCGGGAGGATCGGGAGCAATGTCATGCTGGATGGTATCCTGCACCTTGAGGTTTGTATCTCGTATATCTACATCATGCAGGATGCTTAACTGGCGTCTCACTTCCAGATACATTCGAAAGTGCCGCTGCAAGGCACAGAACTCGAAGAATTCTTGCAAAAACAGCGTATAGCACAAGAAAAAGAAGCTGCGCAGAAAGCTGCACAAGCTCGGACGGAGCGAATGCTTGAAGCTGACGAAGGCGAAGATGAGAGTGATTCCGATTCTGATGCAGACTCCGATTCAGAGAATGAAGTGGAGAAAACCCTTGAGGGGGATATCATGGACACTAGGGAAGACTCTGTTGGACAAATAGTTCCTTCGACCAAACAGCTGCGGCGAAAGGGTGCGAAAGCAAACATGGCGGATAGTGGAGACTGGGCTTTCGGGCTCGATTCGGACGAACCGATGAGAGCGTTGTCATTTGATATTTATCTGAAGGGCAATGTTGCGCGTACCACATCCTTCTTCAAGAGTGCGGAGGGACAATCACAACGTTTTCGTATGTTCCCCTATGTGGAAAAGAAAAGGCGTGTCGATGAGTACGGCGAGACCGTGGACGTCGGCATGTGGCTTCGCAAAGGCAAGGTGCTTGAGGAGGACGCAGAGAGTGAGGAGACGAAGGAGCTGAGGAGAAAAGCTGAGGAGGAAGCAAAGGTACATTTGCTTCCATTCCTGCCTCGAGGTTGCTCATGAATCAATTGTTCAGAAAGTACCAGTTGAACTGCCATCGAAGTTCATTACGACTGAAGTGGACGTTCAATTGGCTTGTCGATTGTTTTTTGTAGATCTAGAAGGATTGAACGATGGACGAGCGGTGAAGACCATTGTTCCCCAGGTCAATCCGAGGAAGATGGTATGAATGGTTCATTTGACGCGCATCTATGTTCGTATTCTGTGACCCATGCTTACATTGCTTATTTAGATTGTTGTACACGCACCATCTAACTATACCGATGCTCTTATAGAGAGCTGCTCTAACATCCGAGCCATGACGAAAGACATATACGCACCAGCACAGGGAGAATGTATACAGATTGGACAACACACCAACAGCTTCTCGATATCGCTAAGCGACGAACTCTTGACTTCACTCAAGATGTCTCAGGTCAGTCTCAAATTTGGTCAATTCATTCCATTTCTCAAAGACGCGAACAAATAGTTCGAGGACAACGAGGTTGGCTACGTTACGGGCCGTATAGCAAGCCTTGCCAGCTCCACTATTCCAGTGTTAGAACCAGTCTCCTTCACGTCGGCGCAATTTGAAGCCAAGTCTCGCAAGTCGCTTCAAAGTCGCATGCTCGGATCTCGTCCGACCCTTACTCTACCCCAGTCGACGATGATCGGTGAGCTTAAGCTGACAGCACTGAAATCGCGGCTTGCTACAGTGGGCGTGCATGCGGAACTCATCGGCGAGGGAGTTCTGATATGTGGCGCAGCAGCGAAGAAGGGTGGTAGTGGAGAGTCATTGGAGGATTCCGTTACGGTGAAAAAGATGACTCGTGGGAGAGTCGAGTTGGAAGGCTCGGTGTCGGACATATATTACACTGTGAGGAAAGAGATTTACAACCTACATGCCCTTGTTGCAGCATAATTGTACTGAATTATTCTAGTATTATATGTTATATAAACAAATATGTAAACTCTGGGCACCTGTTAGGTTGTGAAGGAACAAACCAGGAGTGGATGTGGTCATAGCAGTTAGATCTAGATAAGAATCTGCGGCAGGAGGTTGTTTGGCAACAGCCTCTGATCCTAACAATGAAATTGCCTTTTGGGGATGGCTATCCGGCCCGGTCGCTCGATTTACTTGATACAGCTCGCCTATGTGGTTTGCGCGGTGACTCATCTGAACGTTACTACCACCTATCAGCAAGATGCCTGCGACAACAGTGCATTTCGATGTCATGTAAGACGTCTTCATCAGATTTCTCGGCAGGCTGACTTGGCGATGTCTCAGCCTGTTTGACATGGATGGCACACTGGTAGACTCGACTGCCGGTGTAGTGGGTGCATGGGAGCTGTTCAAACAGAAGTATCCGGGCCTAGATGTCACTGCGGTTCTAAGTTGTGAGTTTCTTCCTCAACCTCGCATGCTTGTCAAGCCCAACATTCGCATGGTTAGCATCCCATGGTGTGCGTACAGTAGAAAACCTACGTATACACTGCGGGATTGAAGACCCGGAGGAACAAGAGGTAACGAATGAAGGTTGGATTGGACAGAAATAAGGCGTACTCATATATTTCTATTTGCGCTTTTAGAGAGAAGCGACGCGCTTCGAGAATGCAATTGTCTCTGAATCCACCAAGAATGGTCGTGAAGGCATTATCATGCTGCCTGGCGTCCGCGAGATTATGCAGGAGGTGAATTGATCCCCATGTTCATGGCGACAGATTATAAATCTGTGCAACTTCAGCTAGAGCCATTTGCGAAGCATCCGAATCCTAGATGGGCGATCTGTACTTCAGCCACAAGAACATATGCCAGTGCAGCGCTCAAGAAAGCTTCTATTCCTGTTCCCGATGCCTTTGTGGTCTCAGAGGATGTCACCAAAGGCAAACCCGAGTACGTACCTGTCAGCTGAACGAATTCCAGCGTCTTCATTGAAGTTTATGACCGCAAAGACCTGATCCATACCTCCTGGGTGCCAAGAAGTGTGGAGTCGACCCTTCTCGTTGTTTGGTAGTCGAGGACGCTCCGGCGGGCGTACGAAGCGGAAAGGCAGCAGGTTGCAAGACACTGGCATTGCTCACGTCACATAGCCGTGCCCAAGTGGAGGCCGCTGCCCCAGACTTCATCGTGAAGGACTTGTCATGGTAAGCGTACTCCTGCCTACACAGGAAATCCTGTCTGATGTCGGTTTAGTGTCACAATGAAGAAGACAGAAGACGGAGTAGAGGTCACAATCAACACAGACAATTAAATGTTTTTAGAAGAATGCGGGGTAGGGATAAGACTAGAAGATAGTGTTATATGATAGAGACAACCGTGTGAACATATTTTTAGTTGGTTTTGGTGTAAAGTTCAAGTGGCCTTCGAAACCCTGTCATCGATGTGAGCTGCGCGTTAACTGGAGAGCTCGCATTCTTACCGCCAACACCAATCATTCCTAGATGCTCAACCGTCTCAAACCCAATATCCAGAAGTAGCCTTTCAAAATCCGCTGGGCGCAACTTCAGGTTGTTTCCTGTCTCTTTGAGCCTCTATAGGGAATCAGCATTGAGCGTAAGGAGCAAGGCCAGCGAGATGAATATCACGAACACTATCCATCCTTTTGGCTTTCGCATAAGTATCCCACTCCTGGGGTTCAAGAACAAATTTGCCTCCAGGCTTTAAGACAGAGTATACGCGGCGAAGAAAACGCAACAATCCATCATCTCCATTGTTCAAATGAATCCACTTCGATATGGAGAGACTGGCTCAGCCAAGGTCGACAGAAATGAGAACAGAATATCAGCGGCTAGTGCATGCTTCCAAAACACACAAACTCACGCGAGGACAACATCATAGAGAGCTGCATCCTCCGGTATCTCGTTCGCGACCCAGTCCGCTTGACGGAACGTGACGTTGTGCGGAAATTGGCCAGCAGTCGCCGTCACATGTGGGATTGGAAGAGGACCAAACATGTGTTCACAGGATGCGGGGAAGTAATCTGTTACTGCTAGGGGATGTGTTTTCGTCTCTACGGAATGGCCTGGTTCGTGACTGTGCATCTGTTCGTCGGGTATAGAATCGGTACCATTACTTGAGGTATTCGTTGCAGGGCCCTGAAGACTCCATACATGGCGTCTTCGTTTCCAGGCAGCTCTAATCAGAGTGTCGTCAATGTCCACGCCAACGACTTTCCTCGCGCCTTTAGACTGCGCTTACTCCCCATCAGTACTACACATTATAATGCATATCCTAGGGTTGCAGAGATTTCTTACCAATCTCACAAGTTACCCAGCCCTCGTTACAACCCACATCAAGGACGTCCGCTCCATTGAAGAGAGATGAGGGCAGGGTCGCTAGCCTAGGGTCCTGCACATGCGGACGCTTTGTGTAGTACCTATAACACCATTCATCTTCTAGTCAATATTACCATATATCTATGAAAATGACGACGTGCCCATAATAATTTCCGTGTACTGGTTGATTGCTTGACAATGACATGGGAAGACAGTCTCGCCGCTCAATCTCGCAGAGTGGCGGGGAGCATGGCATTGGCATGAGATCATGGAGGACAAACCACGTGTCCGCGACTCATCTGCCATTGGCCACCGATAATTACCAGTAGAAAGAGCCAGCCAGACATGTGAGTTAGAAACAGATGGTATCTCTATAGTGCTTAGATACAAGTAGTGCGCGTGATACAGTACGGCTATGGTAAAGCGATAGTCATGCAGCACGACAAGCAGGATTAAGCGAACATTTATAAGGTACGGATATACGCTCGCCCTGGGTCACCCAAACATACTCTGCAATCACTGAGCTACGAAAGTGGTCAGTATTCGGCAGGTTCCTCGTCTTCGGGAGTGTCAGCGCCGACTTCCTCATAATCTTTTTCCAATGCAGCAAGGTCTTCACGCGCCTCCGAGAACTCGCCCTGAAAGTGTGTTGAGCAAAACATAGCACGAGATAGGCCTCTTTATCGCAGCTCACCTCTTCCATACCTTCACCTACGTACCAATGCACAAAGGCGCGCTTAGAGTACATGAGGTCAAATTTGTAATCTGCATCCACTTATCAGTCCGAAAGCATCAAATCATGCCGTAACAAGCACTCACCTAAGCGGCTCCAAGCCGCAGAAATGGCGGTGGTGCTATTGTATTATTGTGTTAGCTTCATCTACTGGGCAGGGGTATGACACGTACTTAGAAAGCATGCACAAGCTGCGAGTGTTCTGCGCTAAGTCGCCCCCAGGAACAGTAGCAGCGGGCTCGCTGCAAATGCCCAGCTACTCGAGTTACATGGGGATTAGTCCCAGAAGATGAGAATGGTATCGCGAACCTTGAATGCAGTTTTGCACCAATCGACAAATTGAATGGTCTTCTTCGTTTTCACAGTGCTGATGGCGGCTTGTACAACCTTGGGGACGACATCACCACGGTAGAGAAGTGCACATGCCATGTATTTGCCCTCTTTGGGGTCACACTTAACCATCTGGTTACCTGTCTCAAAGCAAGAGAACGTCATGTCTGCCACTGAGTTTTGCTCATGGCTAGCCTTCTCCGCAGAGATAAGCGGTGCATAGGTTGCGACAGGAAAATGGATACGAGGGAACGGCACAAGGTTCGTTTGGAACTCGTTAAGATCGACGTTGAGAGAACCACCAAAACGAATTGAAGCAGTAATTGAGGATACCACTTGAGCAATGAGCCTGTTCAAGTTAGGGAAGCTCGGCCGTGCAACGCCTAACTTGGTTTTGCAAATATCATAGATGGCCTCGTTGTCCACCTTATGATGTTTATTAGTCATCAATCAATGCTTACCTCGACAGATGGGATGCCAACGCACCATGAACGAGCAGTCGCAGTACTCTAGCGTCGCATGGGTTGTGAGCACCGAATTGTAGGGCTCAACAACAGAGCTTGACAGCTGCGGGGCAGGGTAGACACAGAATTCTAACTTTGATTTTTTCCCATAATCTGCGGCAAGATGCTCAAGGAGCAGAGCACCCAAACCGGAGCCAGTTCCTCCACCGAATGAGTGGAAGACGAAGAAACCCTGAAGACCGGAACAATTATCTGCGAGACGGCGAATCTTGTCCATGACTGGATCAATGATTTCTTTCCCGACCGTATAATGTCCGCGAGCATCTACGCATCACCATTATAGAGATGCAGACCGTGAATGGACAACTACACACAGTTGTTCGCAGCATCCTCTTTTCCAGTGATCATGCCCTCGGGATGGAAGAGCGCCTTGTAAGGACCGGTCTTCACTTCATCTATGACCCCAGGTTCAAGGTCGATGTAAAGCGAGCGCGGAACATGTTTCCCTGATCCAGTTTCAGCAAAGAATGTCGAAGGATCACTGTCTGGTTTATGTGCGCCATCGAGGAAACGACCGTCAGGCTATGGAATGCATGAGTGTCACAGGTTGATAATAAAGTGAGACCTGACGTACACTCATGCCATGTTCCAGCGTGTATAATTCCCCTATATGACCACGTCGACGACCCAAAATCAACAACGCATACTCATACTGGATCAAACCAGTACTCACAACATGCATTACCGATTTGTACACCAGCCTGACCGACATGGAGGGAAATGACTTCACGCATACTGCACGGTGATGACCGATTGACGCAGACCCGTTTTAAGGAATTCAACGGTGCAAATTCCTGGAAGCGGTTGCGGATAAGCGCTCATCACATGTCACATATTCAAACATCACACCATCCCAATACAGCGCTAGCACAATTAACGCACCGCACTCCGCCCGTGGCAAAAATCCCTTCAAACAATGCGCATTGCTAAGGCTACCTCCGGAGATTATTTTAATGTAAGAGTGGTATAGTCGCAAATGCCCGAATCAGAGGACAAGCTGGGGATATCGTAACGTGAACATCATAGTAACGGGGAAGGGATGAACGTGACTCGACGAAAAGAATACCACAAAAAGGTGAATCAACGCGTCTAGTACTCGCCAACCTCCTCCACATCCGCTGAGTCGATTCCGACTTCCTCATAATCCTTCTCAAGAGCAGCAAGGTCTTCTCGCGCCTCAGAGAATTCACCCTCCTCCATACCCTCGCCGACATACCAGTGAACAAAAGCACGCTTCGAATAGAGGAGATCGAACTTGTGGTCGAGACGACTCCAAGCTGTCGAGATTGCAGTAGTGTTCGACAACATGCATAGGCTTCGCGTGACCTTTGCGAGGTCGCCTCCGGGGATGTGTGCAGGAGGCTCATTGCAAATACCAAGCTTGAAGCCAGTTGGGCACCAGTCAACGAACTGGATGGTCCGCTTTGTCTTAATGATGCCAACGGCCGCATTGACATCCTTAGGAACAACGTCGCCGCGGTAGAGAAGTGCGCACGCCACTGCAATGTGTGCTCAATAACCCTGACGAAGTCAATGTATGATAGCCACTTACTGTATTTGCCTTCCCGTGGGTCGCACTTGACCATCTGGTTGCCGGTCTCAAAGCAAGAGAACGTCATGTCGGCGACAGAGTTCTGCTCATGGTGAGCTTTCTCGGCAGAGATGATGGGCGCAAACGTGGCGAGAGGGAAGTGAATACGAGGGAAGCTGTTTTTCGAAGCGTTATGTTGCGAGCTTTATGTCGTAGTGCACAGAACTCACGGGACCAAGTTTGTCTGGAACTCGTTCAGGTCGACGTTCAGAGAGCCATCAAAGCGAAGCGAAGCGGTGATGGAGGAAACGACTTGAGCAATCAATCTGTTCAAGTTTGTGAAGCTTGGTGACGTGATGTTGAGTCTCTTCTTGCAAATGTCGTAAATTGCTTCGTTGTCAACCTATCGATAACTAAGTAAACGTGGAAGGCGATGCGCTGGACATGTCTTACCATGAATGAGCAGTCAGAATGCTCAAGCGTAGTATGCGTCGTCAATACGGAGTTGTAAGGCTCAACAACAGAGTTTGCCATCGTAGGTGCAGGGTAGACACTGAACTCGAGCTTGGATTTCTTGCCGTAATCCGTGGAAAGACGCTCCAGGACAAGGGCACCGAAACCAGAGCCAGTGCCTCCACCGAAGGAGTGGAAGACGAAGAAGCCTTGCAGACCATTGCAGTTATCGGCCAACCGACGAACCTTGTCCATAACGGTGTCGATTTGCTCCTTACCAATGGTATAGTGACCACGGGCATCTAACAATAATAAATATCAGGAACAGACATGACACGTCACGCAAGGAAAACACTTACAGTTACTCGCCGCATCCTCCTTACCAGTAACAAGAGTCTCAGGGTGGAAAAGACTCCTGTACGTTCCACTCCGAACCTCATCAATAACATTGGGCTCTAGGTCCACATACAGGGACCGCGGCACGTGCTTCCCCGAGGAAGTCTCCGAGAAGAAAGTGCTGAAACCATCATCGTGAGCGGACGGCGAGCCTTCGACGAGACGACCGTCGGGCTTGGGAAATTATCAGACTCCGGAATGTAAGACACATAGACGCTTTACGACTTACACTGAGACCATGTTCAACGGTGTACAGTTCCCCTAAAGCAGATTATCAGTAATCCAGCCCTCTCGCAGCGCGTGCGCGTCACAGAAAAAACACGATGACACGTCACCGTCCTCGCGATAACGCGAAAACGCGCGAAAGTAGGCCAGAGACTTACAGCAGGCGTTACCAATCTGAACACCAGCCTGACCAACGTGGACGGAGATGACTTCACGCATTTTACCAAAGTTACGAGAAAAAGTCTATAGATATGTCAGTTTTCGCTGCCAGCAAACGCGTAAATCCACCCACACGGAGCGTATATGTGGTGAAGGAGAGAGGTCGACAAAGACACGCACGAGGCGCGAGGGCGAAGGGTTAAGAAAGGCAACAGCAATGACTAATCCTTTCTCACGGAACAACGTGGCATTTGCCGCTCGTGATCCGTGCACTATAGACTGCGAACTTCTAACCAGGACCTTGTTTTCTACCCTCCTCTAGTGGTTCTAGCAGGATATAACTACGGAGTGTATATCAGAAGGATGGCTTTGTTACACTCAAATCTACATATGAAAAACAAGCTGCTGGGAATTACGGTTTACATCACTGCTCTAGTAGCACGCAAGTGTGCTCGGCGCGCTGCATCAGAACGCGCAGAAAGTCACGGTAACAACATAATATATGATGAACGATACGTATATCAGTCCAGTCCGAATGGTCCAAGAATAACCTCCACATTCCGTCCAATTACACAGCAATTACACAACAGAAAACTTTACGACGAGTCCGTCTGCTTGGGTGTATCTTGCGATCGTCCAGAGCGGAAAGTGTTCCCAGTCGCGCGCAGTGCAGATGCCGCCTGTTCCTTGCCATGCGCCGCCTTCATAGCAGCTTTCTTAGAACTTTTGCGCATGAAATACCTATGAAAGGCCGCCATCAGTCATATCCAATGAAAGAATGCAGTATAATCGTACGCACAGCACAATTGATTGCCAGATACTGACACCGTGTATAGGCAGACCACGTGTACGAACCTGCTGCTCAGAGGCTGATTGCTGCGGCGCTTTCGTAGGATGATCTTCCCGATCGAAGGCGGCGCGGATCAAGTCTGAGGATTTTAACTTGGGAATCATCCTGTGCGTTCTAGGTGCAGTGTGGTAGATATGTTTCTTCAGAAGAGCGACTGCCTCACGCTACGAGAAAATGTCAAACATCGGGATGATAGTATTACACCAACTGAACCCACCGTATCCCTCCTCCCAGCAATGGCGCTCGCAGGCGGGGACTCACCTCCGAGATCAAGAGGTCCTAGAGTAGCTCTAGTTTCAGTAGGATCAAGAAGAGACATTCGATTACGTACCCCATCGTCTATCTTGCTCGATACGTCCGAATACACCTGACGCAAGTGAGGTATGGCTCGTGGTTCTTTCAGGCGGCTGAGGTCTTGTGGGGTTATGGCGGAGACTTCCTTGGTCTAGCGCATGCTGTAATAGTCGTTGCGCTTTGCGCTCGTATCGACGCCTGCGAACTATGACCTTATGCGCTGCGCGCTTGTACTTCTTGTCCCAGTGTTCTTGCCCAATTAGCCATCGCTTGACAGGTGCCTCCTTGATGATCCCAATCTCTTGTGGCTCGAGTCGCAAAGCCTCGATTTCTTCTTTAGGTTCCATCGACCTGACTTGACCAAATATATCCACTCGTTCTCTGATCATGATGACGCGCGGAATATCCTGTTACAAGTCGGGAAGGTAGGACTTTCCCCTCAGGTCTGGTATTGGAAGTTGCTTACTTTTCCGGAAGGACTAGAACCATTTGTCACCTCTTCAGTACCACATGGGGCTTGCTCTGCTTCGCCCTTTTCGACCTCTTCTTTCGCTTTCTCCTCATTACGCTTGAAGTGTTCGGCGCCGCTATGTAAACTGGAGACAGGATCCATTTCTTTCGTGTTTTTCTCGCCGCTCTCTACTGGATGACGTGCTTCCGGCCAAATGCAGTAATTCTCCTCTTCGGAATCAATATCCAAAAGGTCATCGGGAGGGATGTGCAACTCTGGAAAAGGATTCCGGTCCAGATGATCGATGGACTGAGTCGTGACGTGCCTGACGAATTGGGCTATGGACCTGTACGCATATTTTGCCTGGACTTCATGAAAATTCTGAAGAGCCTGATTTTCAAACGCAATGACTTACACATTGTGTGAACGTAAACACTGTTAGAACATGACACATCCCTGGTGGATAGCAGAATGAGGATGAGGCGTTACCATTTTTAAGAATTGGTGCTCTACCATCATAGATTTGAAGGTGGACCTAGTGCGAAACATTAGCGCATCGCACAGTCCGAACTTGTAGTCAACCTACTTTGGTGGGCGTCTGGAACTTTTCTGCGTTATCCTTCTGTCTATGACCCTCTCGAATAGTACCTTCTCTTGCTGGATATTCTTTGGGGTGGGCAGCCTTATGAGCGATATATATTATCTCGTCTCGAAGGAGCTCCCCGTCACCACCTAAGATATACAACGGGCACAAGTTACCAAGGGAGCTCTGCAGTGCAGGGGAAACAAGGGGATGCGTGAGTTGTCTTCGTCGATGTCAACATATCTTCACATAATATATATGCTACAAGACTCACTCATTGGTCGCATAGAGCTGGATTTGTGACCGAAGCTCCAGGGGTCTGGAATTGGGATCTTCCATGAGAACTTTCGGGGGCTTGGGTTGCCAAAAATCAATAGCAGCGTCGTAGTTGGGATCACTCTGAATGTTATTTGCCTGTGTTGCCTCGGAAGACTCTCCATTCGTACTGTGACTACTATCGAGCATCAGTTCATGAAACTGCCCAAAAAATCGTCTCTTACCAAAGCTTGGCGTCGGGTGTGGAAGAAACCGGTGCGTCAGACCCATCGGGACCAGATTCCTCAAACATTTCTTGCTGACTTCCGATCTTTTCCGCATGCTCCGATATATCTCCAGAACTTACAACGTTTCCTGATTTAATGCCCTCCTCCAAGCGCGCTTCAACTTCACTAGTCATGCGTTCATCGCTTGGTTGCAGTACATCCGCATGCCCGGGCTTGGGAGGTGGATTCGTCGATGTTGGCATAACACGGGTGCGTCCACCTTCCGAAAGAGCATGGATGGGCCAAGTGGGGGAATGTTTATGAATGAAACCGTGAGGGGGAATTATATCCTGAACCAGAGCCAGTGTGAGTAATTGATTGATGCACTTGAAGCCCAACTCACTGTAGCTGTGTTTGTCATGACACTAGGAAAACTGTGTGTAAGATCTACCCAAGGGCTGATTAAGACGGCGCCAGCGGGGAGAGGAAGCCCCAGGTCTCTCAATACGGTAAGTGCCGATAAACATAGGCCAGCTCCAGCAGAATCTCCAGCAAACACGATCTTCGATGGGGCAATAGGCTTATGGACAGCATCGGGGGGAGGCTCTAAGAGATAAAAATCTGCAAAAAGAGTCAAAACTTAACATGATGTCCACAAAGGGACACAGAACTGACAAGATGCTAGAACGTCTTGGAGTGGACATGGCCATGGGTACTGGGGAGCTTTCCTGTAGACAAGCGTCAAATATACGAGGCAGCCGAGTAATGTACGCGTACCGATAATTGACCGCAAAAGCTCGGCCCTTGATTAACCGCGCTTTTGTGGAAGATTGAGCGTAGAACGAGTGGTGGGAGACATCACACGCGCTTACCATAGCGGATAACCTGGTACCTATGGGTATCTAAAGCACAGGCTACGTTTAGATTATGACGTTACTGATGAATACAAGAGCGCACTTATCGACCCCCAAAAATATGCACCTGTATGCGTACATTTCAGCAGAAAATCACGACTGGAAACTAACAACTAACCTCCATGAACGTACAGCTACGAATAAAAGACGTGAGTGACGCTGGTCCTGGCAACAGGGGCGACTTGCCATAACCGTGTCCAAGTGATCCATACGCGAGATATCTTTGTCTATCTCATTCAACTTTTGTCCTCGAGAGCTATGCGTATGTCCGTGTGACAAGAATTTCCTCTCGGTAATCCACTCTGCGTCTATCCCATCCAATCCTCTTATTTGCCACCAACGCTCACCACCAACAACCCGCTTTAGCTCGTCTGGACTGAACCAGTCTTTCAACACGTCAGCTGCTCGATTGCACGAAGTTAGCGGGATCCGAACTGCTGCAACAACAGCCCAGGGAGGTGAAGGGACATGGGTATTCGTGCTAAAACACATTGAAGCCACAGCGTCAGCGTCTGAAAATGATACGAAGAGGAGGGCATACAAGTTTTGTAATGATTCGACCGTGTTATGCGTGCCCAGTTTGATGAACGCTTGAACGATATGGAAGGCCCTTGACGGTCGTCAGTGGCGGTAAAGTACAGAAAGAGGGTGAGAGCATACTCGTCGAAAAAGATGTCATCTGTTGCCTCTTCTTCGGAGTCTCCGTCCTTCCACTTATGACCCTTTTTCCTTCCATGCTTCAAGAATGTTTTCAAGACGACTGCATGCATTTCTGTGGTCAGCCAAAAAGAGCAGGTGCGTCGCGAATACCCACCAGGGGTGATGTGTATGGCAGCGGAAATGGTGTTGACGCCCATAGCTGGCGGTGAGCATAGAACAAACACAAATGGTCAGAGGGTCAAGGAGGCTGAAGGAGAAGAGCTGGACTGTGACTTCAATTGGAGCGAGTGGCTGCTCCAGTGCGCGTTCAGCGCTCTAAACACGTGCATCTACCATGACGTCGTCACCAGCAGACGCGATCGAAACCACAAACGCCACTCCCAAGACCAGATTAGGAAGGTAAAGTAGTTCAAATTCTTCGCAACCAGACAAGAGACTACTGTTACAAAGGGGCCAAGTCAGAGCATTGCGAAGAAGTAGATGAAAGAGCAGGGATAACAGGTAGCAGATGCAGGCACTCTATGGTTGAACGTACAAGTACATGGCAAACTCGATCTAAGTCTTCCGGAACCGAATACTGATACACGAACGGTCGTGGTAACAATGAGTGACGCCGATAAGAGAGGCTCGGGAAGTCTTGATGTGCAGAAAGGGGTCATCGCGCATGCTTCATATTCTTTGGGTTTTTAGAGAACGTTCAATCCGCTGCCGCCATTTCACGTAGATGCCCTCGCTCGGCGAGGGTGCATATCGACATAGCTCGAAAAGGACGAGCTGTTCCTAAACACAGGCATAAGATGCATGCAGAGCACATAGGCAACCCTATTTACCGTGAATCCAGGATTAATCCAGATTTGCTCACGTGCTGCTTCGACGTCAGCAATTGCCCGGGATCATATGAACGAGGCAACCTACTCTGGCGGATTACGTCGAGAGCTTCCATGGGAGGAATTCTTCTAGAGTACATCACTGGGGATTACAAAATGAGCAAAGTCCGATGGTGACATAACAGCGTGTTCTCACAGTACGCCGCGATCACAGCGGCACTCCGAGAGATGCCCATGACACAATGGACAAGCACATTCCCCCCATGTCCGAGGGCGTTGTGAATGAAATGGCATGCGGCGGGCAAGTGAATTAATAGGTCTGCGTGGTCAACATCTTCCACTGGAATGCGAAGGTGTTGAAACCCGGACGCGGGGTTATCGGCGGGAATGGGTTCGGTCCCGAGAGATACGATGTGCGTGATGCGGCGGTCCGACAATGTCCGGGGTGCTATCGCGGAATCGAGTCTGTCCAGGTAACATAGCGACCGGTCAGGCCTATATATCTTCGGGTCCCTGACAACGATAAGGTTACTCACGCTCCGAGGAACAGCCTCCCTTCATGACCGGCGATCGTGTTGATATTCCTCCAGCTTGAGCTCATCTTGGCGGAAGCCGTGCTGTGAGTCGGAATGTCGCACTATCCATGGTGCTTCTTGCCGTAGGGTTTTGTAGGACCCCTCTCCATGACGGTTGCAAGTGACCACCGGCGCGTTATGCATAGCTGCAATCGCTGGATGAGCTGCTCCGA